GAGAGAGAGAGAGAGAGAGAGAGAGAGGAATGACATGCAGGAAAGGAGCCCAATCAGATTCGAACCCGGGCTGCCTGCTTTTGAGGACTGTAGCCTCTGAACATGGAGCGTGCAATTCTACAGTCTACAGTCTGTCAGGGCCCCAAGCAAAAATTCATTGCGGGACCCTCCAAACAATGTCTTCCTCCTTTTTCCCTCTTTCTTTTTTTCACCCCACACAGATAATTCCTCTTCATTTCCTTCGGTAACTTTTTATTGACAAACAATTTCACAGCAGTAAATGCATGCGATGCTTTGCAGGGCATGGCGAGGAAGTGCTGTCAGATGGGGCCCCCCTTAGGGAGGTTACATACAGTCATGGCAAAATGTGCACAATTTTTAAACCACTGCTGTGGTTTAAAGTTTGTCAGCTGGGGCGCATGCACAAACCACTAGGCTATGTTTTTTTTAGCTGAGTCATGCTAACCTCTTGACTGAGTTATACTCCAGTCAATGCTGAATTCTGATGTTTTTATGCCACTTCCTTTGGGTTTAAAGAGGATGTTTTTAATCCTATAATTTCGTTTTTTTTAGGCTGTCATTGAAGCTTTGTCACCAACTTGCAAAGCTTGTTTTAAACTCTACTAATCTTTTTTTTTTTTTTATGCATGTTGCCATGAACAACACTGAATACTAAATTGTGCCCGTTGTTTTAAAAGACTTCCTGCTCACTCAAACCATGGGTACCTTCTGTTTGTTCTCAAACAAGGACACTGCAAGTTCTTATCAGGTCTGAACTCAGATATTCTCACTGGTTGCTGAGTTTGACACTGAGTGTTTAAAGATACAGCTGAGATATTTCACTGCGTTATATGATTGAGAGAAGCCTTCACTGATGCACCACCTCTGACGAAGCTGCGGTGCAGACTGACTCAACAATTAATCCTCTCATTTTAATGCTTCAGTCGGCAAGGTTTGTAGAAGAAGAGAAGAAAAAAAAATGTCCACCTGTTTCATCAGCCAAAATCACAGCAGGGCTGCAGCACAGGGGGACAGAGATTAACTGTTTGCACAGATGAAATCCTCAGTTGTGAGGTGGGAACGCTGCTGGGGAAATGTCAGTACAGGAAGTGACACACTGAATGAAGTCTCTTGTGTAAGCAGTGAATGAGCATCATGTGTAAAGAACACAGGCTCACTTAGATAAATTCCCTATTTTATTTTTTTGTTTGTTTTATGATGGTTGACGGTTTTTGAAGGTTGGAGCCACAAACCCGTCCCATTAGCCAGATTTGAAAGACCTACTCCTTTTAGACCTAATTCTTCTCAGTTTGACTCTGGGCTGAGGACCTTGGTTGAAGTCTCCTTTTTCTTTTTCTGAAAACGCAACTCTAAAATCATAATCTCCCTCCTGTATAATTAGCCGTACTTCTATATTAATGATGTTGCCTTTATTAATTACGTCTCGGATTTCCCAAACTCTATATTTCCCAGGTCATTGCCGTTATTATAACCTGCGTTATTGAGGACGGTCTGACCTCCACCTGCTGTGGGTATACCGGCGCATGTGAACGCATCACTTTATTTGACAGCCTTTGAGAAATGACCAAATTTGCATTCGTTTAGAGTCCACAGGAGCCCCCGAGAGCACAGAGTTTTTAAAGCTGGCTCGGGGACAGTGCGGCAGGGAAAATGGTCATAAATACTACTAATAAATCACATCTGTGTGTAAATGAGACAGACTGAGACACCTGGGCTTGTTTCCAAACAGCAGGTTTCACCTTTTCAGCCGCATGGCTTTTTGAAGACAAGTGTGGAGAATAAGTACAAAACATTCGATCTTTAAATCACACAAACAAATGAGCAGCAGTTTGGTTAGGCATGATGCACGAACATCTTGCCTTTCTCGTGTCCTTCATAAAGTCCTCCAAGGAGCCTTCTCACATTACAAAGTCCATCCATTACATCTCCATTAGGAGTTAAAGACAGAGGCCTTGTTCTCTGGTGAGATCAATGTGGATGTTAAATAGCCTGTGCAGTGTGTCACTATTGATCCTGAGCTCACTTCATGACCTTGATATACAGTCAGTACTCTCTGAATAACCTTCACACTCAACAGGGACATTGAATAAAGACCCAGATCATGTAAATTAGGCACGCTTTGTGTCACGGTAACAAATGGGCAAGAAGGTGTTTCCATAGATCTTATACTGAGAAATCAGTGAGCTCAACCTCTAGCTGACAGTAAAAAATATTGGGCTTTTAGCTATTTGATTAAAGTTCATACTGTAAGGCTGGCTACACACTAGATTATTTTCATATCTTAACCAATTTTTAAAAATGGGGGAGATCACATACATAATCTTTAACATTAGAATCCTCTGAATTCAACCACTAGACGATTTGGCCAGACCACGAGACCACTCACCTGCCATTTGTAGTAACGTTTCACAATGGCGGTTAGGCAGAGGCGAGATCTCACGGGAACTTGCATGATCAAACGCAGCTTCGGAAGAAAAGCAAATATGGAGGAAAATCAACGTCGTCAACTGGCTGTCCTGTTGTGATAGTTCTCGCATGAGACGTTACAAAGGCTCTCGAGCTGTTGCCAGATTTCCACAACCTGGTCTTCTTTCCCGATAATCCACTTGGCTCGGAACACGGTTGTGTTAATGTTCGCTGCATGCCATGTTTGCGAGCTGTAAAAGTACACAACGCCTGGATGGTGACGCTTCCCGGTTTGCCCTCTCCCATTTGTTATTGTTGCACGTATTCCGTCAGAAGTTGCCCGATAATGGTAGATATCAAACGTGTTTGATATTTACAATTCGAGGTTGGGATGGCTCCAACTCCATTGGGAGCAGTAACATAATTGTTTTGACACCAAACACTTGGGGATTATTTGGCCAAATAATTGGTTGTGACATGCCTCGAATCTGGCTGTGCCCCCCCCCAACCTGAAAAAAGCTGATTAGCCATGGAAGCCAGCCTTAGCTTACAGCGCTAACCTGCAACCTTACTGTATAAGAGTCTTCTTTAAGAGACAGCCAACGTAAGATGGAAGCGCCAACAAATAACTTTTTGGATTTGTCTATAACATAAGTTTGAACAGTAGACATCTTACATGCTCCTCTGTTGTGTATGTGTCTCTCTGTTCTTCTCATATCTCGCTCTCTTTCTCTCTGTCTCCTTGAAGTTACTTTTCATGCCCTCTGTTTCACGTTGATTCATATTATTGGATCACATTTCCTCCTGCCTCTGGCTAATGCACTGTTGTAGATTTCTTGCTTGGGTCGGTAAGTGAAATAATTGTGTGTGGACGGTGAAGTCAAGGTTACCCGATTTTTTTGGCGCTCCATCTGAATCCAAATGGCAACATTTTCTCCATTTATCTGTCTGAGATGTTCCACCTTTCAGACATGTTTATACAGCTCTTGACTGAACTTTTAGCCATTAACTCCCACCCCTTGTCCTCTCGTAGAAACTTTTTTTTAATTGAATAAGCAGAAACAGCTCAATACTCTGCTTCTTAAAAGGTAAAATGACCTGAAATCTGATACTTTTATGTCTCATTAAATGCTTGCCGAGAAACATTTCTCCCCAGGTAAGATCCTTCGTCGTAAGTGGATTGGCAACATCCTCAACTTCCTTTTTACTTTTTGCTGTTTCTGATCCTGCATTTTGTTCCATTTCTGCCTCATTTTACTTTTACAGTGCATGCAATTGCCTGAAGTCTTGTGTTCTATATATTATTTCATGGTCCTTGCATAAAGTGTTACAGCACTGCCATCTGGCCCTCAAATGTTGTGAGCATTCTCATAAAATACATTTGGCTTTTGCTCTAATGATGCAACATCTGTTTGTTTTGTGCAAAGCTGCAGAGTTACCAAGGAGGAGGTTTCTCATACTCCACTAAAAATGATCTGTTTGAATATCTGAAACTCTCTTTCCCTAAGATGTGTTCCAACCAAATTTTAAGAAATCTGTAAATTGGTGCAATCGCATACAAAGTTGTATACTTCATGCAGCATTAGATAAAAACTTGAGAAAATCCTGATGTGCTAGCATTAAGATTTATTTTTTTTAATAAACCCATTCAAGCTGAAACTAAAATGAAAATGAATGCTAGTAGTTATTGTGCAGCTGAAAAGATATGAAGAAGAGTAGGAAGTGTGAGTGAAGTTAATGCAATCACTGTCCCTGGTGAAGGCAATGAAATAAACAAAGCTGTGAGCCTCCATGTGATGTTGAGAATACAGATGGAAATAACATTTTGTTTTGTTTAAATGTGAACTCCTGCAGGAAAGGATGTAACGATTACTCGCGCTACAAAACCGATACAAATGTGGACAATTTCAATCGATTAAACAAAAATGTAAGTTGCAATACTCTTTTCAACCAGCAGAGGGAACTATCTGCTTTTGGCTTCTCTTGTTCAATGTCAGTATCTGAAGAAGAGAGGCGCAAATACATAACGTTAGCAACTCAGAAAAAGAGCATTGTTCTATTAGTGACCATACGACCTCAAAAATAAATGGTATTACTTATATTTACAAAGGAAAATGTATATTTATACTTGTGCTCCTTTTAGTGAGCCTGAATTCAAAGCAGTTCAAATGGATTACTATTGAGACCCAAAAAAGTCCCAAAGAAGATATCCGAACAACTTCTGTAGAGTTGGTTCCTCCTCAAAAAAAAAAAGATCTCTCCTCTGCCAAATATTGCTGACTTTGTATTTCCAGCAAAGCTTGAGAGATACAAGAGGAATCTGTAAAATGCTGTGGGGATTTTCAGGACTTAAGTAGGGTATTCCTCTTTGGATCACTGAGTTTGTGCATCTCATTTTCAAAGCAAACATCCCATATGTGCCGACTCATGCTTGAAGGCTCTGCAGCTTTGCAACAGCTTGTGCCGTTAAAGCTGATACAAATCTTCTGCTACATCCTGCCGTGTATTCACCTCTCTGCCTTTCTCTCCTCTGTCTGCTCTCTCTCTCTCTCTTCCTCACAGTCGATCAAGGTATGTTTGAGAACTCCGTCGCCCAGCAGCAGAGTCCTCAGACCTCGAGGCCGGGCCTGCCCTCGGCCAGACGCTCCCCAGCATCTGCTAATCCCAACCTGGGGTCAGGCTCCGCGGACTCTCCATCCTCAGGAGGACAACAGAGGCTTAAAAATGCCATTAATCTGGGCAAGGCTGTCGGCGCGAAGGTAAACGCCAGCATCCACAAAGCATAAGGATTCATTCTTTTTATTCTGGATGTGTGAGCTGTAGAGAGGATTTCATTGCCTTTTTTTCTGTTCATTTTCATTTGAATCAAAGTACCTTTTGTTCTTATCTTTTTTCCAATCATTCCATTTCTCTTTTCTTTCCCCTTTTCTCTCAACTTGTGTCTCCTGTTTCCTCATTTCTGTATTTCTTTTTTTTGTTTTGGTCCTTTCTTTTGTTTCCGTTCTGTCCGCCTGTCTTTCCCTGATTGTCCTCCTCTTTCCTTATTTCTATCCATTTCCTTGTCCTTTTCCTTTTCTTTACTTTGATATTTGCTTTATTTTTATTTATTTCCTTTTTTAACCCGCTCATTATTCCTGTCTGTGTTTTGTCCATTTTTCTTTCTTTCTTTCTTTCTTTTTATTCTGTCTTTCTTTCTGTTTTCCTTCCTTTCGTTCCATCTTTCTTTCCTTCTTTACTCTCAAACTTTTTTGTCTGTCTGTCTTTCTTTTGTTTGTTCTTGTGTTGTTTCTCTCTCTCTTTCTATCGTTCTTTGTTCATCTTTCTTTCTTTCTTTCTTCAGGTCAACGACTTGTTAAGAAGAAAGGAGCCCAGTCACCTCGGGGACATCGGGGTGACTGAGGTTAACAAGAGCGTTGGTGCTGTATGGAGCCGAATGGACGAACTCAACCACACCACCGCTAACAGGTACACACACACACACACACACACACACACACACACACACACACACACACACACACACACACACACACACACACACACACACACACACACACACATGTTTGTCCTTTGTGACGTATGAAATCTAATTCCATTCATAAATGTAACCCTAATCTAATTTTTTGTCCCTGAACCCTGAAACAAAAACATAATGAATCTTTCGGGCTGGTGTCTGGTGTCTGGTGTCGTGAAGGTTGCTGGTTTGATGACACAAACTGACTGGTGCAGATCAATATCTTCCAGTTCTCTAATTAGATGAAGCCTTTTTTTCAGTGCTGCTTTTGCACTGTATGCAGTCCAAGTCCTCACATTCAATTTAATGACAAAGCCTCTTGGAGCCTTATTGTTGGCAGAAATATGAAATTACCTGTGCTGAATGAAGCGTCTGTCTCTTTTAATAAGGTGCTGGGTTAGAAAAGGTGAATGATATAAGACTTACTTTTGAAAAGTGGTTTTAAATTAATAACGGCACATCAAAGAACGCCATGAGACGTCTGAAATTGAACTTTTTTAGTTTCTTCTACAATCAGAGAACAAAAGAAATCTCCTTTTTTTAAGGGGTGTATTCTGTGGATACACACACACACACACACACACACACACACACACACACACACACATAAGTGGCTCCGAGTGTGTACTCGAGGATTTGTTCCAGAAGCATTGATCTGTTGTCTCTTCAACTGAAGATCAGTCAAGCAAAAGTCATTTTTTTCTGCCGCTCTGCTCCCGTTCATCTCCATTCAGTGAGCTGCGAATAGATTCAGTCGACAGTACCTGTGATGATCTGTAAAAGTTTTTAGCTTTTGTATTAATAAAGTGACTCATCATTGTTGAATCTTGAAAGTATGAGAGGGGACTGAAGCTCAGATCTTTTTAGCAGAACTCTGTATTTGTATTATTAATTACGTGTCTGGAAATGAAAAGAGCATGACCTTATGAATATGTGTCATTCTCTGTCCAGCACTTGGATCGTTGATGTCATTATGATTTACTAATATGTATCAAAACTGATTTAAAGCATAAAGTTTCAGCCTTCACATCACTGAAATGTTATCTGACTGTGGGGCTGGATGTGAATGTGTGTTATGTCAGCCTCATTATTCATGAGGCTGACAGCAGGGGAAAGAAAGTGTTCTTGTGTCGTGAGGTTTTAGTCCTGATGCAGCGCAGCTTCTTGCCATGGTACGTCTGATTTAGATTTTACTAAGACGTATTTTACATAAAGTGAGCAAATAATTGATTTACTTTAATTAAGTAAAAATATCCAATCACAGTGTGGCTTAATCAAAACAGCTAGGAATCGCAGTCATGCAGTGTATGGGAACATCTCATATCTCAGAGGTGGTAAACAGCCCCACCCTCAGGCAGAGAGGGAAACAGCAGCTTTAAAAACAAAACACTCATTCTGATAACAAGCGAACACAGAATACTAATAAAGCTGACTCTGAGTCATTACAATCCATCAACAACACGCCGGTATCTGTGCTCTTTGCATTCAGGAACAGCACAGCCGTGCTCGGTGAACTTAATCATCTTTGTGTGCGTTCCTGTCGGCTCTGGGGAACGATCACACAGTCTTATCACCATGGGATGTATACACCGTATTCATTGTCTGCCTGTGTAGGGGAACAGCTTGAGAAATTGGAATGTTTTTTTTAAACACAGCGAGTGAAAGTAGATTTAAATTCTGGCTGTTCCTCTCAGCCCCGTTTCTCACACACACACACACACACACACAAATAAACACATGCAGGCTCCATCACTTAAAGCAACACACTCTAATTTGATGCAGTTTCACCTCTCTATAATTGTGTATAGCTACAACTGAGTTTCAGACAATCAGAAATGTTACACTATGCCCCAAGAGTTTCTAGATTATCACATTCTTAGTTACACTTTTTGGCTTTGTTGGCAACCATCAATTCAACTCTCACATCTGTTGGGCGAGGCTTCCTGTTGTACTGACTGCAGCGTTTATGCTAAGTGAGGCTAACTAACATCCGCCTCCAGCGTCGTGTTAAGGAGATAATCATGATAAAACCGTCTCATTTCTTAATTTCCTGCAAGGATGAAGTACTTTATTGTAGAGCTGTATTCTGAAGGGACATTTTACTGACACACAATTAGCAGTGGCAAACATTTTCACTCCCCCCCGAGTATTTTTTCCCACAGAAAGTCCGAGTGAGCTGAAAGTGAGAACGCTGCAGGATATTATCAGGTGAATTCACCTTGAGCGAGTGGGAGTGGGTGGTGATGTTTATTCCCTGCAATCGGTGCACGCCCAAACACTGTATTCACGCTACCGCTACCATCTTTGTGAACGCAGGCTAATTAAACCTGCC